AGGACGAATTTTTTAGGGCCCACCGTTAAACCTTCCGTGTTCCTGCCCGAATCGCGTTCTCTGCCTTTTTTCTGCCCGAAATGCGCCCTTAGGTGCATCGATTTTCGCTGCCCCGCGGCCCTGCCCTCTCCTGTCGCGCGTAGCCCACGAGCAGCCCGTACAGCCCCCGTCTGGCCTTCGCGCCGCCAGTACAGCCCGCGCCACGCCTGCGCGTGGCCCGTATAGCCTACGTTAGGCCCGCGCGCAGCCCGTACAGTCAGTGCTAGGCGTTAGCGCAGCCCGTACAGGCCACGTCAGGCCCAAGAGCGGCCCGTACAGTCCGCGCTAGGCATTCGCGCAGCCTGTACAGGCCACGTCCGGCCCGCGCGCGGCCAGTACAGCCCACGCCAGGCCTGAACGCTGCACTACGCCTGTGCTGCTGCTCTACCGCTGCTGCTATTTGCTGCAGCAGCTCTTCTACTTGCTGCCGCTGCTACTATTTGCTGCAGCAGCTCTTCTACTTGCTGCCGCTGCTACTATTTGCTGCAGCAGCTCTTCTACTTGCTGCCGCTGCTGCTACTTGCTGCAGCAGCTCTTCTACTTCCTGCAGCAGCTCTTCTACTTGCTGCCGCTGCTACTATTTGCTGCAGCAGCTCTTCTACTTGCTGCTGCTGCTGCTACTTGCTGCAGCAGCTCTTCTACTTGCTGCAGCTGCTTCTACTTGCTGCCGCTGCTGCTACCTACTGCAGCCGCCCCTGGCCCCTGGAGCAGCCGCCACTGCAGCAGCCGCCCCTGGCCCTTGGAGCAGCCGCCCCTGCAGCAGCCGCCCCTGGACCTCTGCAGCCGCCCAAGGCCCCTGGAGAGGCTGCCCCTGCAGCCGCCGCCTCTGGCCCCTGGAGCAGCCGCCCCTGCAGCAGCCGCCCCTGGCCCCTCGAGCAGCCGCCCCTGCAGCAGCCGCCTCTGGCCCCTGGAGCGGCCGCCCCTACAGCAGCCGCCCCTGGCCCCTGGAGCAGCCGCCCCTGCAGCAGCCGCCTCTGGCCCCTGGAGCAGCCGCCCCTGGTCACTGGAGCAGCCGCCCCTGCAGCAGCCGCCCCTGGCCCCTGGGGCAGCCGCCCCTGCAGCAGCCGCCCCTGGCCCGTGGAGCTGCCGCCCCAAGGCCAGCATGGCCTTGTTGTCTACGTACAGAAATGGAGGAGAACGAGGCGGCTCTCCTAGGTCAGTCAGCAGGTAGGTGAGCCAGCGTAACTCCTGTGCAGCCATGGCCCCTGCGTAGATCTCGGCCTCACAGCTGGAGCCGAGAACAGAAGACGAGCGGGTAGACCGCCATGAAACAGAGCCGGAACCAAGGCTGAAGGTGTAACCCTGTGACGACCGCTGCGTAGCCAAGTCGTCAGCCCAAGAAGCGTCTGCGTGACCAGTGAGGACCACTGGACTCCGCCCTCCAAGCACGAGCCCCATGCCCGACGTACTGCACAGGTAGCACAACACCCTCTTCGCAGCAGCCATGTGCTCTGGTCGGTGTCTCCCAGGAGCAACATAGCGTGCCAAGATGCTAAGAGGGTATGCTAGGTCAGGACGAGTGCAGGTCATCAGGTACATGAGGCAGCCAACAAGCTCTGGGTACGGGCCACTCGACTCTACGGACTCATCCGAAGGCAGAGCTGAGAGCGAGTGGCCAGTAGACAGAGGAGTGGCCTGAGGCGAGGAGTACGGGAAGCCGAAGCGCTGAAGGACCCGCTGCACCATGTGTGACTGAGTCAGGGTAATGGTGCGGCGTGCTCTGTCCCGGGTGATCTGCAAGCCAAGGTAGCTGCGCAGTTCACCCAGGTCTGTGCACGTGTGTCTCTTCTGCAGCTCGGACTTCACGTGGGCGAGTCCAGCAGTGTCAGCTGTGGCAAAGACCAAGTCGTCGACGTACACGAGGATGTAGAACGGCGGCAAAGAAGTGTCGGTGCGCAGAAACAGCGACGGGTCGGCAGTAGAGGGAGCAAACCCAAGAGCCGCAAGGGTAGTCCTCAGTGTGTCGTGCCACTCACGCGGTGCCTGGCGGAGACCGTAGACTGGCCGCCGGAGGCTCCACTGGGTGCCAGGAGGAAAAGACCCAGTGAAGCCAGGTGGGCGACGCAGCCAGATCTCCTCGTGCAGGCTGCCCTGCAAGAAAGCAGTGCTGAAGTCAAGAGAGTGCAGCTCGTAGTCGCGGTGAGCAGCTATGTGCAGCAGTACCCGAAGATTGGTCATCTTCGGGGTGGGAGAGAAGGTCTGAAAGTAGTCAACTCCCTGCCGCTGACTGAAGCCACGAGCCACGTAACGCGCCTTGAAGACAGGCGGAGAACCCGGCGGTCGCTTCACCCTGAAAATCCACATGCCACTGACGATGTTCGCCCCAGGCGGGGGAACCTCGTCAACGTAGGTGCCTGTGGACTTCCAGGAAGCCATCTCTGTGTCCATAGCTGCCTGCCACTGAGAGGAGTAGGGACCCTCTATCGCCTCCGCGTAAGAGCGCGGAGTCGGGATGTCAAGT